GTTAAATTTAAAGGTGTTCCAATTACGTTTAGCTCAGTGACTGATACGTACGTATTCATTACCACATGTGGCTTTTCAACAATCAAATATTTCACTGGAGAAGACAGTTATGAACCGAAACGTTCTGACTAAATTTTCACTGGCTTCCAAACCCCTTAATCATATGCCCAGAAAATTAAAACGTTCCAAACACGTGATTAAGGGAAACATTGAATTAAACATACTGAATCGGTTAAACAGAATACAACAGTGGATAATGAAACCCCTAAGGTCTGAGAAAAAGGAGCAGATCTGTAAACAATTAAAGGATTATTTTCCGCATTCCCAGAAAGATCAAAAAACTAAAGGGCCAAGAGCATTAAATATCTATTTTTTGTTGTTTTCAGTCACTACCTATATTCAATTTTGAAAAAAATGGTACAATGGAACACCTGCCACTTGTTCATATTTCTACTACTGCTGAAGTTACACAGTACGGTGCAATATCCCACCACTATTATTACTGTTTAGCAATGAATTTTGACAATTCTGCCTATTCATCAATTAACCTGTACGAATTTGAGCAGCAAAAACTGGTAGTAACTTTCCAAAATTAAGAATCTCATGACAAACTGATGTCAAGTAAATTCAAAAAGGATGACTGCCCATGAAAGTTTTTTCAGCTGCAGCTTATAACTTAGGCTCTTACTCGAAAAAAAAAAATTTTTTTTTTTGCTTATCATGTCCAGAAAGATAGATGCTTTTTGAAAAACAAGGAAGTAAGATTTCGTTTTCTTGAAGATTTAATGAGAGATGCTGCATGTGCAACCACAAATTATAAAAGTTCCTCAAAAAAACAGATTGTTTCACTTTCATATTTTCTCAATTTAAATTGACCACATTAACGCATCTAACAAATGCGTAAAAATTATGTGGGAAATTAGTAAAAGAAAACTAACCACCCTCGCTCCAAAATCTGTAATCAGTTATAGATCAGTAATAAATGATCTAGAAACATTACTGAGTACATGAATGTAGTTCTCCTAATTAGGCGGCAGTAACAATGCTGGCCCTGAGAAAAAAAAAAAAGAAAACAACGAAACTTGTTAAAAATTACGCCTGGGAAAGAATTCAAGAATATGCAGCTAACCAGTCACAAAAGAAAGGAAAAAAAATAAAATAAAATAAAATAAAAAATAATGGAACAAAGATTCAGTGAATTTTTAAGCGCATTAAAGTGCTCTGTAACTACAGTACTCAAGAAAGAAGAAAAAAAAAA